CCGCCTCCTAACCCCATGGCTGACCTTCTAAGCGGGGGTCAACCCAACCTTGACCCCCATTCTTCGAGCACAACGTCAGCGTCAACCCCTCAATCCATGGTTCAGCATCCCGGCTCTACATGGCCTTGAACTCCTGCAACATGCGCACCGTCACATAACTCGCCTCGGTAAGCGCATACTGCTGTCCTAGGCAGATTCTCGGTCCGCCGTCGAAGGGCAGATATTCACAGCTCGGGCGCAGTGCGGCTCTCCGCTCGGCGTCGCATATGTTCGCCTCGTGCCCATACCGCCACCTCGTATGTATCATCGCGTCATATGATCACCACCTCCTAGTATCACCACCTCCTAGTATCACCACCTCCTATTATCACCACCTCCTATTAGTAAAAATATTATGACTTATTATTATATCATATGTGCGTATAGCGTGAAGCTAATCTTTTCTACCCCTTTTAGTCTTAGTTAGGTATTATAGCGTATAATAGAAATAAAACTACTTTTTATACTTAATTTAAACCCCTACTATAAAAGTAAACCACCACTTTAATAAAAGTAAACCACCACTTTAAACCTATTTACGGGTATACACGAGGTCAGTTTACACCTATATAGTAAACCCCTAGCGTACCATTCTACAGTAAACAATTTTTTACCGTAGTGTAGATACCTAAACGCAGTCTCCAATTCAACAGGCAAGGTACCGGCCGGTAGGTACAATCCAGTGGGCAAAGGCGCAATCAATGGCAATCATTGGAAGGTTCCTGAATTTCATCTGAACACTGGAATCAAACCATCTCATGGTAAGCTTCTGGGGAATGTGTGGTTTGTCCCACCACAGTACCAGTACCGCCGCCGATACGCTTTGCTCTCCGGCCTGCCTATTTGAGTAAAGCGTTCCGGCAGAAGGAACGAAGCCCATCGAGCGACTCATGGGACATGTTAAGCAACGTGCGCTCAGCTCTTTCAACTATATATAACTGTGCGACAATGTGAATCAAACACTCGACCGGGCGCTTACCGTACCGGTACCCAAACACTTGGAGCGAACACAGCCCAGCCAAATTGCCGTCCGTCTTCAAGCCCCTCCTCCAAGCCAAATGCGAGCCGCCTGAAGATCGAGCTGAAGGGAGATTCAGCTTCTGAGCGGTGCTCGAAATGGCCCGTCACAGTGCCCTCCTCTGCCTATGACCGGTACCCGTCATTTCCTACGGTACCCGTCAATGTATACGACATGCCCTCCATTGCCATTCCACATCTCGGCAGCACTGCCAGCAATCTGTGGATTCTGGAATACCTACCTAGCTCATATCCTGATAGAGTACCGGTACAGGTAGCAGCTGATAATCACTTGACTAGTGCTGTTTTACCTAGACAGCGGCCAAACAAATCACGCGTGTGCTCTTGCTGTGGATAGGTACTACCGGTATCATATCCGTGATCCTACAAGATCTGGTATACAAATACCTTGCAGCCGATCCTTGGATAGCGTCATGACTAGTCATATGCATGGTTCCCCGTTTGCAAATAGAGCTGCAAAGGCCTCGTTCTCGTTTCATCCATCCTGACGATCAGTGTCTCCAAAGTACCGGTAAACGACGCCGATTCCTCCCTCCATTCCATTCAAGATGCTCCTTCCCTTCTCCCTCGGCTTCCTCGTTCTCTCTCTCACCGCTATCTGCGCAAAGCCCCTCACCTCTCCTGCCGATTTCTCACCCGTCAATGTAACAATCTGCAACGGAAAAAAATATCTATACTCCTCCCTCGCTGGCTATGGCCTCCTCCCAAGCAACGCACGAGACAAATACGGCGACACCATCGGCGGCATCGGGTCCGCCATTGCCCTCGACAAGAAGTCTATCAAATTTTCCAAGCGTTCCCAGTCATATTCTGGTATAATCTATGGTCTTCCAGATCGCGGCTGGAATACCCAAGGCACGCAGAATACGCAATCCCGAATCCACAAGTTCAAGTTCACATTCAATGTTGTGGGAAATGCGACTGTGGAGAACCCCGCGAGTCCCAACTTCAGTTTCGACATACTGGATACGATTCTTTTGACGGGCCCGGATGGCACGCCATTGACAGGACTGGATCCCACAGATACAATCGTATATCCCGGCTTCCCACCTCTTCCGTTAGCAAAATGTAGGTAGACCCTCTCCCCATCCCATATTTGCAAAGCCAAACCGGCCAGTCAACCCCCCACTTGCATGCTTGACATTAACAACGTTCGTCAAAGACATTGGTAACGGCTTTGGTCAATCTGGCTCAGGAGGTTCCCGCGTTTCCCTAGACACAGAAGGTCTCGTACTCGGCGACAACAACAGCTATTGGATCAGCGACGAATATGCTGCCTACCTATACCACTTCGACAGCGCCGGCGAAATGATACAAGCCATCAGCACACCCAGTGCACTACTCCCTCGCCGCAGCACCAGCAGTAATAACGGAACCAACGCGAATGCCCTCTCCTTCAGCGCCGCCAGCCCCCCATCTACGCCCCCAACACTACAACCTTGCCCCAAGACCCCACCACCGGCCGCGCAAACAACCAAGGCCTTGAAGCTCTAACCGCCAGCCCAGATGGCACACACCTCTACACCATGCTGCAAAGCGCCACCATGCAAGACGGCGGCAAATCCTCCTCCAAACGCCGTAACACGCGCCTCCTCAAATACCGCATCGGTGGCAACACCCCCACGCCCGTCCCAGAGGCTGAATACGTAGTCCAGCTCCCGTTGCTACCCTCGGGCAAAGTCGCAGGCCAGAGCGAAATGCTTTTCATCTCCAACACGCAGTTCCTCGTGCTTGCGCGCGACAGCGGCGCGGGCCATGGGCAGGAGAAATCGGAATCCGTGTATCGTAACGTGGATGTTGTCGATGTTTCCGGGGCGACGAATGTGCTGGGGACGGATGCGGATGGCGAGGCGGGGCAGGTGGCCTCTCGGGAGGGGGTGTTGAATGAAGCTGCGATTGTGCCGGCGGTGTACTGTCCCTGGTTGACGTTTAACAATAATGCGCAGCTCAACAGGTTCGGGGTAAGGAATGGTGGGTCGCGGGATGCGAATCTGTTGAATGAGAAGTGGGAGGGTCTCGCTATTTTTCCAGTGCATGCGGATGACGAGGTGGGTGGGAGCGGAAAGCAGGGCGGGCATTATCTTGTTTCGTTCAATGACAATGATTTCATCACGCAAGATGGTGAGCACAAATCCGAAATCATGGGTTCGGCTGCATGTGCTGACATTCCAACAGGATACATCAACGGCGGCAAATTTCAGTACAAGGACGCAAGCGGGTTTAATCTGGACTCTCAGGCATTGGTGTTCAACGTCCAGCTTCCAATAGGGGCGACATCGGTATGAGTTTAGTGTACTAGATATGATTATATTCAGAAAAGATTTAGGAACACACTTCCATGCAGATACTTTGTATATCTGCCTCCATGAGCATACATAGTACTACAGGGGCCAGCTAATCTGCATGTGAAGAAGATTGACCCTGAAGAGAAAAATCAATTCAGAAAACGATTTCCATATATGTCATGTCTCCCTTCTTCATTAGAGTAGTACAAAAGTGAGTCATTGGAGCCGCAAGTGCATCGAAAACTAAACAGAAATGTAATCTCGAAAGCCGCGTCCAAGCAATGCAGCTAGGCCAATGACGCAACCGCCATAATCAAAGAAAGGTGCAACCGCCTACACACAAAGTCCGCGCAATCATCAAAACCAGACTGCTACTCGCTCTCTGACCCAGAACTCTCCTCCGCCGATGAATTAGCATAAAGCTCGAGATACGGAGGAAGATTGTGCATTCCTTGCTCAAATACACCTTCGTCATCTCCATCTGCGCCAAACAGGGAATCCGTACCATCCATGTCCTCATCACTCAACTCATCACTGGTCCGCTTCGTCGGGATCAGCGAGACGGTGCAGCCTCCGTGAGCATTGCGACGGCAAGCATTCGACTCTGCATCTTCAACTGGGTTGGTCTTTGCAGACGTGTTGCCAGAATGGCTGCTGGAGGCCGTTGGAGTGGTATCTTCGGCGCTGTTGGACACTTCGTCATCATCCTGCTGTTCATACTGGCGAGCCAGTTCATCCTGTTTGCCATCAAGCCAGGCATCAGTCTGTTCAAGAGCGAGTTGCAGTGCCTCTTCATGCTCAAGACCTTGTGCCTTGGCCTGGAAATACTTTTCCGAGCAGACTTGGTTATGACTGCCAGGTTGGGTTTTAATGTTCTTGGTAGCACGAACGTTGTTGGCGGCGCGGGCTTTGTACTGGCGGGGTTTCCATTTGACCAGGCCTGGTGCTTCTTGACGTAGTATTGTTCCCGGAGGGAGAAAAAAGTCCATGACTGTTTGTCTACCGCGGCCGCCTTTGTTCGTGCCACATCCAGGGCAAGACTTCTTATCCCCTGCAAGATAGTACCGCCCAAGGCCATGACTGACATCGCAGCGCCAGGCAAACTCCTCATGTCGCTCTTTCTTTTTCCAGTATGCGCATTCAAAAAACTCTTGTCCAAGCTCCATAGTCGTGGAACCACTGGGGTGAGGGGGCGGGCCAGGCTCAGGTTCCGGCTCAGGTTTTGGAGTAGGTTCCTTGCGAGGCTTGGGTCGGAGATACTCAATCACAGCGTCGCGACCAATTTGTCGTGCTTGATCTTCCGTAGCACCAGCATCTATAGCAGCCCAGAATGGGTATTTTGCAATGCTGTTGTGGCATGAATGGTCATTTTTGCGGCCTTTACCAAGGGGCGGCTTACATGGCTTCCAGCGCATGCCTGTGGCAGGCTGGTGGAAGAATTGCCGCCGAGGCATATAGAAGTCCATATATGTCACCTTGGGTATGTCCATGAGTGTGCTGTTGCAGCCACGGCATGTTTTACGGTCGCCAGCGTTGTAGTAGTGGCCCATTGCATGCTTGATGCAACAGCGCCAGGCCGGCTTTTCGTCCGGACTTTTGGCTTCGAAGTAGGCACCTGGTGGGAGGATCTGATCAGGCTCAAGGGTCTTTGATCCGCTTGGATGAGGCAGAATGGGTGTATGAGCAACAGGTACCGGAGAATCGGGTTGCTTAGTGCCTGACCTTGATAATTTGCGCGCCATGACAGTACTTCGCTTGGTGAGCGGCCTCGAAGCAACTCTCTTCGTATCCATCTTTCTCCTCTTCATGACAGGCCTATTCGAGGGCACAGACGCCTCATTCGGTTCTGTAAGCTTAGCAGTAGCGTGGAAAGGGGCAAGTGGAATGTTATCAATGCCGTTCTTGTCTCGCGGAGAACGCGAAGTCCTGGCACCAGCCGTGATGTGCTCCATGACTGGAACAATGTGGTCAGAAATGGAATTGGTCTGCTCTGAAGCAATGATCTGCACTCTCTCATGCCAGTCTGGAGCTGTTGGGCAAAATCCTTTCGCCAAAGCCTGAACCAGCGTCTGCTCGGACCCGGAACGAAGAGTTTCCAGAGCCTGTGTTGGGTTGCCCCACCTCTCTGTCAGCCGCCTTTTGTGATCATGGAGCAATTTTAGAGGCCAAGAAGGTACGTCCATGATGCCGCTATCGCTATGGCCCCCAGCACATGGCACTGCGCAGTCACCAGTAAGCGCATCGGCTCCACAATGATCAAAAAGCATCTCCAGCCGTGTTGGGACAGCGTTACGACCGTATGGGTTAGTAAAGTCTTCAGCAATTGAGTTGTTATGATTATACTCTAGTTCAAGCTTCGCGTTGTTGGGCTCCACAAAATGACTAGGTTGCGCATTGACTATAGGCGTTGTCATCAAAGTGAGGGTTTTCTCAGGGCCGGAAAGTGAACAAGGGGAGATCGAAGACTCCTCGATGTCCGGGTCATCAATGTGATTGTTGGACGAAACAGAGGGCTGCTTCTCTCGTTTGGTAATGCCTGGTATGTTTCGAGCTTTCTTCTTCCTCGTCAAAGCCATAGGAGGACTCCTAGTCAGAACCGCATTGGGAGCCGATTGATTGAAGGATGTCTTGACAAGATCATCAATATCTTCAAGTGGATGGGTGTGGCGACGAAGAGGATATTCTAGAGTAGAAAGCTGTATCATGGGAGGCTCAGACATGGCGCGATGCCACGATTCGCTGAGTTTTCCAGCTACCCGTGAGGCTGTTATGGGTCCGAAACCAGCAAAGACATTTTCAAGATTGCGGACATGTAGGAACGATGTGCTCTCTTTGCCCTCGTTGGCGAACATGCATATCACGCGATGGTGCGCATTCCAAACCATCTTGTTCGCGAGTTTGTCGACATTCTTACTAATTGAAGCCATGTAACGAGTGATGTCGATACGCGTTGCTTCTTCGCTCCCGAAGCACTTGCCAACTTGATCGGGATGCAAGGCATGCGCAACGAACTGTTTGAGTATTGTCGCTTCATATGCTTTCTGATTGGCCTGGTAGAGGACGAAGTCCATGTAGTCGTCTCTAGAGGGAACGCGGTAGTGATCACGCACACTGGTTTCAGCACAACGGATGGTTGATGGATTGTTCTGCTGTATTTCTTCCAAAGATTGAGCTATATGGCATCAGTAAATAGTCCCTCTATGTCGAAACACTTCATACCTATGTCGGCAGGTAACCCATGAGAAAGCTGATCCACTTGTACACTAGGTAGCTTTTCATCATCAGACTCAAAAAGAGAGTCATGTTGCCGGTCGTCAACAGGGACAGGGCCGGGACACATGTTAGCAGTGTCAGGCTCATGGTACGCAGGGGCTGGTGTATGCAAGGTGCCATCACTCCAATCAATCTCGTCTTCGGTCGCGTACGGCATAGTCAAGGAATGTATGTGATTCCTGCGTTGTTGGAGACATCGAAGAAAGGGTTTATATGGTCAGAGGGTAGGGGGCGTCCGTCCCCAAGGTCTACGCAGCCTCCATGGCTGATCACGCCACACTACATGCTGCAAACGAGAATCACGGGCCGCGAATCGATGTATGGCCTTGCACACCCATGTCCGTTATGCTGATGTTGAGTGGTGAGTGGATGCGGTTGGCGTTTGCTGTCGGGGCGAATCTCGACCGCCATGTGGAGCATGACAGAGGATCCAACTAGACACCGGTTCGAGGCCATGGTAGGAAAGCGCCATGTCTTAGGACCATGTCTTAGGGCGATGGACAATTTGACGGTGGGTATTCTGTCCACTCACAGCATTCCTAGAAGGTGTTCGTTTGTGTATCTGCCCGCCGACGGACGTATGACTTGACAAGCGGTGGCGGCTCGGGAGGGCAGTACTTTTCGAATATTCGTTAATTTATACCGTAAAGTATACTTGGATGATGCAATTTTTGATTTCTTTGCTCGAGGAATCCTTTCTCATCGCATCTGCGTCATTTACAGGCCGAACTTTGCGAAAGGAGATGACATCGACTTTTTAACCCAGGCCAAACTTCGGGGACTACCAGTACTACACACTCTTGAGAACCAACTTTTGCGCCTTTGCGATCCATTTTGGGATCCGTCTTGGGATTCAGCAAGAGCAAGGGAATTCGGTAGCCCTCTGGCACATGTCCCCAGTCAAAACGTGTCGGTCTTCAGGCGGTCAGAGCAAAGGTGGCCAGCAGCAGGGCCAAGGTCATGGTAGGCAGGGAAGCCATGAGCCATAGACAGACAGCAGCCTGGAGGTCTGTTCGAGACGAAAGGAAAACAGCTGATTGTGACACATGTCGTGTTGGGTGGTGGTGAGGATACCGGTCGTAGATGTATTCGATAGATGATTAGACTCTTGTCGGTTGAGAGCTGTCTAATCGGGTGGCTGGTGGTTGCACGTGACACTGGACAGGTGGTGAGCTCTCATGGCTCGTGCGGCGGCCTATCTGTCTTTGATTGGCCCAAGCCCACTGGACCCTGAACAGCCAACGTTTCGTGGCATCTCTCAACTGTAAAGAGCTCCCTTCAAGTTTCATTGCCTTGATTTGATGCTTTAAAGGTCGTCGTCAATTCCTCTCTCTCACCACACAAAATAAAAAAGAACATGGGGAAACGACACGTGACGTCGATTGCTTTGCTGCTCCCCGTGCTCGCTGCCACGTCGCATGCGGCTTCGGAGCCTTCACGGCCGCGGGGTGTAGGCCCTGAGTGTATGTCGCTGTACCGTACTCCAAAACAAGCTCATGGGAAGATGAAGCCATGAGACGAGAGAACTTTTAGCGGGTTTGGGGGGGGGCTGGCTGACTGAGGCATTGTATAGTTGCAAAATACTACAAAGACGCCTCGACCTTCACTTGCATATCCAATCCATCGATCCAGATGCCAATGGCTCGTGTCAACGACGACTACTGCGATTGTCCCGACGGCTCAGACGAACCAGGCACCGCAGCCTGTGCCTACCTCTCGCCCCTCTCGCCGCCCCAACCCTCGACTTTCCAAGCTGGCCAGGCCAAGAGCCCGCCCGTCCTGCCAGGCTTCTACTGCAAGAACAAGGGCCACATGCCCAGCTATATCCCCTTCACCAGGGTCAATGACGGTGCATGTGACTACGAGGGCTGCTGTGATGGCAGCGACGAGTACGAGCATGTCGGTGGAGTCAAGTGTGAGGACCAGTGTGCTAGGATCGGCAAGGAATGGAAGAGACAGGATGAGATACGGCAGAAGAGCCTCAATGCTGCAAAGCAAAGACGGAAGGAGCTCATTTCCGAGGCTGGGCGGTTGCGTAGAGAAGTCGAAGACCGCATTGCAACACTCAAGACGCAAATCGAGGGCCAGACTGTCAAGGTCGACGGGCTGACCAAGAGCCTGGCAGAGATTGAGCGTTCGGAGAGAGGAAAATTGGTCAAGAGTGCGGGCAAGGGAGGCAAGATCACGGTGCTGGCGAGTTTGGCCAAGGAGAGGATCCAGGAACTGACGGACAACGTGAACCGGGTGCGCAGCGAAAGAGATGCGGCAAAGGCGAGAGTGGATGAGCTTGAAGCGATGCTGAAGCGGTTCAAGGAAGAGTACAACCCCAACTTCAACGACGAGGGCGTCAAGCGCGCCGTCAAGGCCTGGGAGGACTATGCGGCACAAGATCGGCCTGCTTTTAACGACGCCCTTGACCGAGACCTGGACGAGGTCCTCAAGCCAGACTCGGAGAGCGCCATCAAGTGGGAAGAGTTTGAGACTACCGATGACGAGTCTGACGTCGAGCTTCGTAAGTTGTTCCCTCCCAAAATCCATTCCTACAGCTCACCAAGTCCTCCCCAGTCTACCAATTCGAAGCCTACCTCCCCGCCCCCATCCGCGACTGGGTTGACGCCAAGCTCCGCGATTTACGCGTCATGCTCATCGAGAACGGCGTCCTCGCCTCCCCCTCCACTGACGCGCCCGAATCCAAGCTCGTTACTGACGCAAAATCTCAACTCGATTCAGCCAAGAAGGAGCTGGACGATGACAAGTCTGAACTAGCAAGACACGAAGATGACCTAACAAAAGACTATGGCCCAGATGGTATCTTCCGCGCCCTGAAAGAGACGTGCATCTCTACTGACAGCGGTGAATACACATACGAGCACTGCTTCTTCTCCAAGACGACGCAAAAGTCCAAAAAGGGTGGCGCGCACACGGGCATGGGCAATTTCGCGCGCATCGAAAGCATCACCGTTGATGAGGCGCTACCAGCTGATGGCCGGGGTCTGGGCAGTGGCGAGCGTCTCGCGCTCAAGTATGAAAACGGGCAGCATTGCTGGAATGGGCCGAATAGAAGTACCTTAGTCATCTTGGCGTGTGCGGAGAAGGATGAGATATGGAAGATTGTGGAGGAGGAGA